GAGTGGGTATCAGAATCACCTGGAAGGCTTGTTAACAACAGACTGCTGGGCCTTACTCCCAGGGTTTTTGACTCGGTAGGTCTGGGGTGACACTTGCAAATTTGCCTTCCTAACAAGTTCCCAGGTGATGCTGATGTTACTGGTCTGGAGACCACACTTTGAGAACTGCTGGGTGGCTCAGTCAGTTAAGTGTCCAACTCTTGATTTCGGCTTGGGTCACAATCTTATGGTTTGTGAGATGGAGCCCCGCAGCAGGCTCTGCGCTGACAGCGGGGAGCCTACTTGGGATTCTCTCTCTCTCTCTCTCTCTCTCTCTCTCTCTCTCTCTCTCTCTCCCTCTCCCTCTCCCTCTCTCTCTCTCCCCTTCCCTTGCTATCTCTCTCTCTCTCTCTCTCAAAATAAATAAACTTAAAAAAAAAGTGATTCTTAAACTGAGGCACTTCGGCAACCTGCATCAGAATCGCCTAGATCCTTGGCCTCATGGCACTTATGTTCAAGTGGAGAAGCAATATAATAAACCATTAAACAAGGAGCACCTGACTGTACAGCATGTGACTTTTGATCTGGGGGTTGTGACTTCAAGCCCCATGTTGGGGGTAGAGATTAGCTAAATAAATAAACTTAAACAAATAAACAATTAAACAAATAGATACATAATGTCATATAAAATAAAGTGGATCAAGGGAATGGAGAGTGGTATAGGGCATGCTATTTAAGACAGGGTGGTGAAGTCAGGCCCCCTCTAAGAAGGTGACATTGGACAGAGACTTAATGAAAGGGGAGAGCAAGCTATTATTATGTTAACATAAATGTTAATTAATATCAATATGTTAATATGTGAGGGAGGAGTATTCCAGACAGAAAGAACAATCAGTGCAAAGACCATGAGACAGGAATGTGCTTAGTGTGTGTTCCCAGAACAATTCAAAGCCAAGAATTAGACTCTTTGTTCTTTCTGGTTCCTTGTGTTGTTCCCTCCCCAGGGCAATAAGGTTCGTTTATTCTCTATCACACAAATAGGGTCATCTGAGACATGCTGTTCTGCAACTTGCATTTTCCCCCGGTGATAAATAACGAACATTCTTTCATGTCACCGCATTTAAGATCGGTGTCATTATTTATAAAGGCTGAATATTCCTTTGTAAACATGGAGCAGGGGTTTACTTTTTAAAAAGTCAGTTATTTGTATAACCAGTTTCCTACAAACGAACAGATTGCTTCCAGTTCCTGGCTATGACCCAGAAAATGCTACGGTATACTTTTGTGTGTGTGTGTGTGTGTGTGTGTGTGTGTATCTATGAACTTGTTCATGCATTCCTTTATGCACCAAAAATTTACTGAGCTGCTACTATATGTTAGGTATGGCATTATATTCTGAAAATACAATGGTGAGCCAAACAGATATGGTTCTTGCTCTCGTGGAAATAGGATCTATGAGGGGAGAAAATCATACAAGAAATATGTAATTACAAACTTTGAGAAGTGCTAGTATGGCCGACACCGTTGCTCAGCTAACCCACCTCTCACTCTCAAGCCTCCTTCTAGCTGGAATTTTGGGCAATGAGACAAAAGTGGATTGTGGTAGGCAAATCATGTTCCCCTCGATCATATCCTAATCCCCAGAGCCTATGCATATGATAGGTTACGTGGCAACAATTCAGGTTGCAGATGGAATTCAGCTTACTAATCAGTTGACATTAGAAGAGGGCTTATCCGGTTGGGCCCAATGTGATTACAAGGATCCTTAAATGTGGCACGGAGGGCTAAAAAGTCAGAGAAGGTGTGATAACCAAAGCAGAGTGGCAGTGATACGATGGCTGGCCGTGAAGTCAGAAGGGGGCCACCAGTCAAGGAATACAGGCCCCGTCTGGCAGGTGGAAAAGGCAGGGAAACTGATGCTCTCTTAGAGCCTCTGGAAGGAATGCAACCCTATCAACACTGTGGGTTAGCCTAGCAAAACCCACTTCAGACTTCTGACACCCAGAACTGGAAGATAATAAGTTTGTGTTGTTTTAAGACTCTACATTGGGCGCCTGGGTGGCTCAGTTGGTCAAGCATCCAACTTCAGCTCAGGTCATGATCTCATGGTTCGTGGGTTTGAGCCCCGTGTCGGGCTCTGTGCCGACAGCTCAGAGCCTGGAGCCTGCTTCGGATTCTGCGTCTCCCTCTCTCTCTGCCCCTCCCCCACTCACGCTCTGTCTCTCTCTGTCTCAAAAATAAATAAAAACATTTAAAAAATTTTTAAAAACAACAACAAAAAAAGACTCTACATTTATGGAGATTTGTTATGGCAGGCATAGGAAACTAATGCGTGGGTTCTACGGGAAAACCTTTGCTGTCCTGACACAAGTCAGTCCCTTCCTCTCCTTCCCTATTCTTGCCTTGAATGGGAAGCTGTAAAGGTCATCTAGTGACACTGAGGGAAAGGCCAAGAGAACTGCAAAGCCATCAGCCCCGATATTGTTGAACTGCTGAACAAATGCCAGCAGCCCCTGACTTCCAGCCTTCTAGCTCTGTGAGGGAAAAAAAACCCCACAGACCCACACTTTTCAGCTCTTGTATTTATTCAGTTACACGCAGACAAAGCGTCTCTGAGTGATAAGTCAGTATAAGCAACTATGAGAGAATATCCCAGAGACCTAACTCAATCATGACATGTAGACACAGTGGACTTTCTGTCCACCATCCCATTCCCAGTGTGTCCAGCACTGGTGGGCTGTACCACCCACTTCAAAGTCTAAAGGAGGAAACCTTTCATCTCCCTGCCCCTTGGCAGCCAGTACACAGGGCCCGCGCTCTCCTCGACCAGAAAAAGGACACAGTGTGTATAAAGAAAAGGTTCACATCCTGTGTCGATGCTTCTCCCAATATCCCCTAGGCACTCATTGTTTCTGTTTCAGTGACTTCTTACTGTGAGCACCTGCGACTGTGCCCGAGGACTTTTTGGCCACAGAGTGTGCTTAGCCAGAAGTGGCAAGGAGTTAAGGTCCATAGGAGCAGACGCATCAGTGATGAGCATGAATATAGGAAAAATATCCCAGCTTCCTTGTTTCCCAGGTGGAAAACCCGAGGCATGTTCTATTTTGTCTTCCTGAGGTCCCAATAGAATCAACTCCCGGCTTCCCACAGCGCTGACCTGCTCATAAACAGACCTTGTATTGTTTTCCATGTCTTCCCTATCTCACTTCCCCACTTCCCCTTGTGGATTCCTGGGGTTGCCTTCCAAATAAACCACTTGCTCTCAACAATTTATCGGAGGGTCTGTTTCATCCAAAGTAAGACAGTACCAGAAGTGGTCTTTTGAAGTGTACCTTCAGGATGGGATTCTTGAATTGGATTACCTGTACAGCATATGAATACAAAGACCTCATTACTCCCGGTAAGTAGAGTGGTGGCAGTCCCTGGCATGTTGTAGAATTACAATTGATGAGACTTTCACCTATGCTGGATTGGGATAGGACACAAATGGAAGGAAATGCACTGGTTCATGCAATAGTGCCAGCCCTTGAAAGATGAAAACTGAGAATCAAGGAGCTGGTTTGCTGTTATCGATGGCCTTAGAAACGCTAAAGAAAGCAGATGACAGGTTTGGTCAGCCAATCACTAAGTCAAGGAACAGTATGGAAGCAGAAGGCCTTCGTGGGAACTTTGATCTCTTCCAGACCCAGATTTGATTGTGAGGGCAGTAAAGTTACACAGGAGAAGGATGCTTGTCTTTCTCAAGATCTGCCCCCACTTCCGCATATTTCTTCTAGAGACAGAGAGCTAGGGACAATTCTTAGTATGGCCCAAGCAGGGAAATGCCATTTCTAGTAGGAGATAAAAGAGATTATTCACTGAACAGTTGTAGGACTTGATGAATATACACTTGCTGGAATTGAGACAATAAACCCGGGAATGGATCTTGAGGGTCCTGAACCGGGGAAGAATATAACACTGGATATGGAAGAGTGTATTGATATTGGAACACTCTCCCATGACTCAGGATTTCACATCCTGGCAAGGACACACAGAGTCAGTCCTAGTATGCTTCTGGAATGGCTCCTTGAAACTTGGAAAAAACAAAGCCTATATAGTAAATGAAGTGGAGTTGTTGGAATTGCCTTGACAGAGTACTGAGAGAAGAGGCAAAAAGCTCAGAGGGATGGGCAAACTAGAGTGGCTTTCTTACGTAAGACCAGAAAACACACTAGTTGATGGTGTCCCCTGGAAGGGCCCAGAGGACACTTTTTTTATTAAGACAACAAGGAATGTGTTACTGGCATTATTGAAAAGCTCCATGGCGGTTGTCTTCTATGGGTCGGGGTTCATGATAGGGGAGACTGTTATGTAAGATAGTGACACATCTAGGTGTCAAAGGGGATGATAGGATTCTAGAAGAGCAGACACCAAGTGTCAGCAGTTAACTGTCACAGTCAAGGTAAGTGTAGTAACCACTATAGACACCAAGTCTGGAATGGCAAAGATGGGGCTTTGACCTGTAGGGGTCGGTAGAGATGGCTAATAAACGATGGCATTCCTGGGAACAATATATACGGCAAGCTGTACCAGTTAACTAAGAGTGCCCTAACAAAATACAGGACTTAGTAGCTTAAACAACAGAAATTTATTTCCTCACAGTTCTAGAAGCTAGAAGTCCAAGATCAAATTGTTGGCAGAGTCAGGTTCTTCTGAGGCCTCTCTCCTTGCCTTGCAGATGGCTGCCTTCTCGCTGAGTCTTCACGTGGTTGCCCCTCAGTCTGTTTGTTGTCTGTGTCCTAATTTCTTCTTCTTATAAGGACACTAGTCAATTTGGATTAAGGCCCACCCAAATGACCTCATTCTATCTTAATTACCTTTTTAAAGGTCCTGTATCCAAATATATTACATTCTAAGACACTGAGGGTTAGGACTTCAACATGTGAATTTTGGGGGAACACAATTCAGCTCCTAACAGAACCCAGCAAGGGTACTGCTTATAAAACTAAAAATAAAAATAAAAATAAACAAATCAAGAATACCTGAGCAGTAGACTACTGTCAGTTGCTGCAGTGGAAAAATCATGATCCTTTAGTTTCCATCCCTGAGCAGGTTCCCAGACCCAGGACTGATCAAGTGAAGAAAGGCCAAGTCCCCTTGAGGAAGGACCCTGCAATGCCACAGCAAATATATACAGTTATGATTCCAGCTACTCTGCATCAACAGGACCTAGGCCATTTATCTGTGTGACTGTTTGGGGGAGGGGGGAAGAATACCCATATTTTGGGGAGCTGATGTCAGGGAACCTAAGGCACCATCATGGGGTCCTTTGTTAGAGTGGGATGTATGGAGACTTGGTAGGAAATAGAGCCCTGGCCCAAGTCTCACAGTGAATCCAATGGATCCACACCATTGGATCCATGGTCATTTCTCTGGTCCTTAAGTGTATTATTGGAAGAAACATATTCAGCAGTTAGAAGAACCCTCAAATTGTGCCCTCACATGACAAGGAAAAGCCATCATGATAGAAGTGGCTAAGTGAAACCTTCTGAAACTCCATCAACCCAGCCAAAATAAGAAGTGATGCCATACCCCGATGGGACTGGCAGGGAATATTGCCAGCTTCCTCACCTCCTGCCCAGGTGACACAACCTTGAAGTGTGTTCCACAGTCACCTAGAAATCCCCAGTAGGACTGAGACCCAATTGCCCACAGCCATGCCTGCTCACTAAAGCACCTTGCATGGGTTTCCTTCCTTCCCTGCCTTACTTTTCTGTCTCCTTCCTAGGATCACCTCCCAAATAGACTAGTTGCACTCAAACCCTTACATCAGTGTCTAACAGTGGGAAAACCCAACCTAACACATCTCCTCTCTGGCCTCTGTTCACACTAAAAGATACACATATACAGGGTTTTTGTTGCCACGGTTTTTGGTTGTACTGCCCCCACCCCAAAATCATGCCAGATACACTATTCTGTAATAATCTTTTTTTTCATGTTATGAGGCTTTACGGAAATTCTTCCAGGCCAATAAATTGTATATCTAATTCATATTTTAATAGCTGTGTCATTCTATAATATGGATATCCATTCCCCTACTGCTAAACATTCAGGTAGTTTTCAGATTTGCCTCTACATTATAACAATGCTGCCATGAGCATTCTTTAGTGTATAACCTAATGAATCAGTGCTTTTATTTATAGAGACTCTGAAATTAAGGATTGCGAAATTAAAATGTATGTGTATTTTCACTTATAAAAATTTACCTTCAGGGGCACCTGGCTGGCTCAGTTGGAAGAGCATGCGACTCTTGATGTGGAGGTCGTGAGTTCAAGCCCCGTGTTGGGTGTAGAAATTACTAAAAATAAAATAAACTCAAAAAGTTTTCTTAAAAAAAAATCTACCTTCAGATGTCTCTCCAAAAGGGTTACCTTGACTTACTTCTTACCAGCAAAGTTGATAGTGATATTTTCCCCAGTCCTTGATGGCATACGATGTTGTTAATCCTTTAACTTTTAAATCTTTTGTTTTTAAGATATTATTTTTAAGTAATCTTTACACCTAACATGGGGCTCAAACTTACAACCTTGAGAACAAGGGTCACATGTTCTACAACCAAACCAGCCAGGTGCCCCCTTTAACTTTTAAATCTTAATGATGAAAACAGTACCTCATTTTACTATAATTATTTCCATCACCATTAGGGAGGTTGAACATCTTTTCATTCACTGGCCATTTAGATTTTCTCTTCATGAGTTGTTTATTCATATCTTTTGGCCATTTTTTTCCTTTTTTTTTTTTTAAAGCTTTATTCATAAAAATTCTAGCTTTTCAAATGCAGGAGCTGTAAGACGGTCTCGGTCATTTTTAATACCTAAGCCCAGTACAGGACCTTGTAATTGGAGGTATTTAGTAAATGTTTTTGAATAAATATTTTTATTTGTTTTTTTAAATGTTTATTTATTTGAGAGACAGAGAGTGAGAGCATGAGCAGGGGAGGGGAAGAAAGAGAGGGAGAGCAGGGATCCCAAGCAAGCTCCGCACCCAGCACAGAGCCTGATGCAGGGCTGGATCTCACAACCTTGAAATCATGACCTGACTGGAAACCAAGAGTTAGGCGCCCAACTGACTGAGCCACCCAGGCACCCCGCCCATTTTTTTTTTCAATTAGGCTTTTACCTCCTAGAAACTCTTTGTGTACGAGGAATATCATCCCTATATGTATTATATATGTTGCAAATATATATCATATAGCATGTGTCATTTGACTTTGTTTATATTGTTTGGGAACATAAAAATTTTTTTTAATCTAAATAGTCAATCGTATGTAAATTTTTTAATGGCTTCTGGATTTTGTGCTTCATTTGGAAAGATTTCCCTGACATCCAAAAATGTTCTCCTAGACCTCAATAAAAGTTCTCCAAATTTTCTTCAAATATTTTGTATTTTTTCAAATATTTTGTATTTCTTTAATAAAATTGTTCATCCAACATTTCAGAGAAGTAAGGTGAGAGGAAGCTAGTATGATTTATGTGGTAACAGAGTGGAGTTAGATTTCAGTATGAATTCATGTTTAGCTTAATCTAGATATGGATAACTACATAAGGAATATTTAGAAATACGTATATATGTATTCTGGTTACCCACAAACAAACATCTCCTTGCTCTGTCAGCTGAGAGGACCTAGAAGCAATGACACCTCAGCAGCAATGAGCATGCCTAACACCCCGAGTTTGGTTTCTGATAGCATTCTTCAAGAAAAGGCCCAGAGACTCCCTGGAGAAATGGCTGATTCTAAAACCAGGGTAGAAAAGGTACAAGATGAGCCTGCAACAACTTGTAGTGGCCCCAAAGCAAGAAAAGTGCTTCCAAAAAATCCACAATGATGAAGGTGTGTCAAAGGGACACAGGAGCCAAACTGAAAGCACTCCTGATAGCCAAAGCTGGAACAATTAAACAACAACCAAAAAATGATGACACATGTACCATCTATATTAATGTAAGATGTTAATAAAAGAAACTGGATGTGAGGTATATAGAAACTCTATGCTATCTTTGCTATCTTTCTCTAAATCTAAAATTGCCTTAAAATCATTTTATTTAAAAAATTGTTCATTCATCTAGATTATATTTTTCATATGGTACGATACAGGGGCACGGCTCTGTTTTCTGTGGATAGCCAATTGTGCTGACATCGATTCTTCAAACAATTGAATTAAAGTACCACTTTTGTTATCTATTAATTTACTATGTATATTTGGATCTTGTTTCTGGGCAATTATATTTCATTAAGTTTCATTAATATATAATATAATATAGATTTCACTAATATATATAATATAATAAATTATATTTCACTAACATGGTATCACTGTATCACACTGTTGTTGTTTTTTTCAAGTAGGCTTCATGTGCAGTGCGGAGCCCAATGCAGGGCTTGAACTCATGGCCCTGAGATCAAGACCTGAGCTGAGATCAAGAGTCAGACGCTGAACAAACTGAGCCACCCTGGTGCCCCACCACATTGTTTTGATCATGGGGATTTATGATACTTTTAGTATCTCCCAAAACATACTTGCAACTAATCTCACAAAAGACCAATTTCCATAACATATAAAGAGTCACAATAAAATCAAAAGAAAATGAGCAACCACCTAGTCGAATGATGGGCAAAGATTATGAGCATACAGTTCATAAATCGTAACTATAAATGGCCCTTAAACATATGAAAACATGTTCAAACTTCATCATGATTAGAAAAATGTAAAATGAAATGACACCTCACAGAAGAGCAAAGACCAAAAAAAATTTTTTAACGTTTATTTTTGAGAAAGAGAGAGAGAGAGGCAGAGAGGAGAACAGAGCATCCATAGCAGGCTCTGCACTGACAGCACAGAGAGCTCTGCACTCTCTGCACAGAGAGCAGAGAGTTGGGGGGGAGGGCTCGAACCCACAAACAGCGAGATCATGACCTGAGCTGAAGTCGGACACTTAAGTGACTGAACCACCCAGGTGCCCCAATATGTACAAGCATTTAAAATGCACATGCTGCAGGGCACCTGGGTGGCTCGTTTGGTTGAGCATCTGAGTCTAGATTTTTCTTTCTTTTTCTTTCTTTCTTTCTTTTTCTTTCTTTCTTTCTTTCTTTCTTTCTTTCTTTCTTTCTTTCTTTCTTTCTTTCTTTCTTTCCTTTTTTTCTTTGTCAAATTGGCTTACAGACAACACCCAGTGCTCTTGATTTCCACTCATGTCATGATCCCAGAGTCATGGGATAGAGCCCTGCGTCAGGCTAAAATGAAACTCTGTATACACAAAGGAACAAGAAGCGAGCTCTCTATGTACATCTCAAAAGTCACATTGATAAGACAAAGCAATATGAAGAACAATGTGAATATTGTGTTAAAAAATGATTCAAATGTCTCTGAAAGTACCTGGGAGAAACTGGTGACCTAAATTGCCAACGCAAAAGATAACTGACTGGCTGGGGGAGGGGTGGGGGAGGGGTAAAGAGAGCTGCATGCCTGTTGGTAACTTTTGAACTAGAACCGTATGAACATTTAACTCATTTAAAAGAATAAAATACTAATTTTTATGATTAATGAAATAATATGAGACTTTTATAAGAGCCCTATTTGAACTGCATTATATTTGTCCTTCAGGGAAGATAACTGTTCTTATAATATTATGTCTTTCCATTTCTTCATATCTTTTTTTTTTAAGTAATCTCTCCACCCAACGTGGGACTCGAACTCACCACCCTGAAATCAAAAGTCACAGGCTCTGCCAATTGAGCCAACCAGGCACCCCTCTTCAGATCTTACTTTATGTTCATCATATAAATTCTGTATAGTTCCTCTTCCACTCATTCCCAAGTATTTTACATTTTTGTCAGTGTTGTGAATAGAATATTTTCCCTTTACTATGTTTAGCTGGTTATTGATAACAAAGAAATATTATTAGTTTTTGCCTATTTTCATATAGTTAACCACCTTACCAAAAACTTGAATTACTTCTGGTAGTTCTTGTAAAACTAGAATCTAGTAACTTTCTACAAATATAATTTTTTACACATTCTTTCTAATGTAAATTCCTATCATTTTAGTTGTGGTAAAAGCTGAACACACCTGATGGGGAGAGAGAGACAGAGAGAGAGACAGAGAAATATAGTGGTGTAAATGAGATCGAAGTTTATTTCTTTTTTTTTAATTAAAAAAAATTTTTTTAAGTTTATTTATTTTTGTGAGAGAGAGGAAGAGAGACAGACTGTGATCAGGGGAGGAGGAGAGAGAGAAGGAGACACAGAATTCGAACCAGGCTCCAGGCTCTGAACCGTCAGCACATAGCCCAATTCGGGGCTTGAACTCACAAACTGCGAGATCATAACCTGAGCGGGGCTTGAACTCATGAACTGCGGATCATAACCTGAGCGAAGTCAGACGCTTAACCGATTGAGCCACCCAGGCGCCCCAATCGAAGTTTATTTCTTTCATACACAGTCCAGGCTGGTGGAACAAATAACCCTGCTCCTCCAGGCTATTCAGTGACCCATGTTCCTTTCATCTCATTGCCCTACCATCTAGTGGAGTGTTGTACTCATCTGCATGATTGAGGCTGAGCTATGGTTACATCTACATCCCAGCCCATGAGGAACAAGGTGGGAGAAAAGTCTAGGATAAACAATTTCTACATTGACCTCATCACATCTGTGCATATTCCACTGGTGCAAACACAGTCATATGGCTGCACTTAGCTTCAGGAGAACCTGGGCAATAGTCTCTCTGCCATGTCCTTAGCTAAAACTATATTTCCAAGGAAGAAGATAATAGAATTTTGAAGACAAAACTATATTCCTAAGAAAGAAGGGGAAAACAGAAGTTTGACGACCACTATTAGTAAGCTACACGTATTACTCCATTGTCTTGTCTTATTGGATTAGAACATCCAAAAACAATGTTGAATAATAGCGGTGACAGCATCCTTCTCTCGTTCATGATTTTTATGCAAATGATTTTACTGTTTTCTCATTTAGTATAATGCTTGCTGTTGAGTTTTGGTAAGCCATGTTCATCATATTTAAATGGTTTACTTAAAATTTCTATTTTACTTGAAATATTTATTAAGAATGGCTGCTGAATTTTTAAATGTATTTTCCGTTTCTATTAACATAACACTACGGGTTTCCTCTTTTAATTTTTTCATCTCATAAATTATGTTGATAGACTTCCTAATGTTGAATCATTTTTTGCTACACTGCTTGATTCCGTTTATTAATATTTTGTTTGGGCTTTGTGTGTATTTTGTACAAATGTTTTAATATCCTATAACCATATGTAAGGATATACTAGCTTTGCAAAATGAATTTGGGATCTCTCCATCTTTTTCTGTGCTCTGAGAACTGGTGCCAGTCTCTGAACTGTTTGTTACCGACCCATGATGGGATAAGTGCAGAAATGGAGAGCGGTTACAAATGTTTATAATAATTTGGCATCGTTATGACACCCAAGCAGTGATTGCTGGATTCATCAAAGAATACTGCATTCCGCTTTTGTAATTACTTTCTTGTCCCTATGCTAAATTGGTTTTCATTACATTTAATGAAACGTAATTTATTTCCGATGAATCTTAAATTTTAAAAATTGTGCTTGTACTTCGCCTATTTCTCTAATATTCTTATTAAATTTCACAAAAGCAGATCTCCACAAATGTAAATGTTTTAAAAACGGGTCCTGCACCACAGATGTTTTGAAAAACATTAATCTAGAAGGGAGCAACTGACATCAAAATTATTTGTTATTTAAAGGTTATCGAGAACTTGGCTATAAAACCAACTGAACCCGCTGACTTTCAATGCCCGTCCACAGTTACTGCTCTCTTCCGGTTTTCTATTTCTTGGGTCAATTTCAGTAGTTTATAGTTTGCCAGGAAATCCATCATTCTTTCTGTTGCACACGAGATTCTGTTGCACACATTTGTTGCACACGAGATTCTCTTTTAAGTCTTTTAACATATATCTGTTTTTAGCTACATTGTCATTACTAGCATTTTACCTCCTCTTCCTTTTCTTCCTTCCTTAGTCTAGCTAGCCTAGAGTTTATCTATGTTACTTGTCCTTTACGAACACTCGGGCTTTGGGGAGCGGGCGGGCGGGCCCAGTCCCGGGTCAGGCGGGAGGCGCGCGGGCGCGGAGTCCGGGGACCCGGTCACTCGGAGCAGAGGCGACAGGGCGGCGGGAGCGGCTCCGGGGACATCGGCTCCGCCGCGCGGAAGTGGCAACTCCCGGGTTTTCCGGGCTTAGGGTAGCGGCCGCCGGCCCCATCTTCCGGCGTCGGGGCCCCGGATGCTATCGCCTCCTCCTTTGTCGCCGCCTCCGCCCCCTCCCCCCTCTCCCGCTCTCCCCACCCCGCCCCTCCCCCGCCCCGCGCCGGGCTCGTGGCGCCAGGTCCCTCCTGGAGCGGCTCCAGCCGCACAGCCGCCGCCGCTCGGGCTCGTCCTCCGGCAGCTGATGTCCAGCCGGGTGCTCGGGCGGTACGCAGTGGCACACAGCCACAGGATGTCAGCCGAACGCACACCTCGAAGGTTGGCCTTCACAGGTCGGTCCGCGAAAGGACTGGCTGTAGCCAGTCGCGGTGCAGGATAACTTACCGCGGGTTTTGTTGTTTTGTTGCTGCCCCTGCTTCTGACCTTCCCGTCGTGTTCCCCTCTCTCGACGTGCACTTTCCGGTGTGCATAGACGCCGGATGTCTTCATATTCCTTCCCCATTAATCAAAAGATTACGGAGAGTTGACGATGAACATAGTAATTAATGACACCCATCGGCCTTTATACAGTTAAAGCCACAGCAAGCCATAAGGATGGGCCTACCAATATTCCTGTGCTGGTTGGAACTCCCCAGTGAGTCAAAGGAACAGGAATTCAAACTGTGTGTTAATTATACTGGAATTTAAAATATAAATATATATATTTTTTAAGAACAGGAATTCAGGAAACGTCACAGTAAATATCCGTTGCAGCACTGTACAATAGAAATACGACTCAAGTGGCATATGTGAGCTACACGTGTGATTTTTAACTTTATTTATTTTAGTCGTCTCGGCATCCAACTTGGGGCTTAGAACTCGGGACTCTGAGATCAAGAGTCCCACGCCCTTCCCACTGAGCCAGCCAGGCACCCCTACACGTGTGTTTTTAAATACTAGTGGCTATGTTAAAAAAAAAAAAAAAGCTGAAAGAAATAGGTCAAATAAACCTTAATATATTCTCTTAATATATCCAAAATATATCAATATTCATCAGTATGAAAATTATGAGATATTTCACATTTCTTCTTTTTCATACCACGTCTTCGACATCTTGCATGTGTTTACACTTCCAGCACATTTTCAATGGGATTACCAACATTTTCGGTGCTCAGTACCCACGTGTGGCTAGTGATCAGTATACTGGACAGTGCAGTTTCTTCCATTTCTGACATTGAGGTCAAATGTTCTGCATACTTGCTGGGCTAAATCTCCCGAGCTAATTAATGGATCTTTTCGCTATCTAGAATCTAATCTAGATAAAATATGTAGGAGTACTACAAAACAATGGGACCCCATATATTTTAGCAATTCCTTAAAGAAATTCCATAATACAGTGTGTGGAATACATCCCATCGGCTCTTTTTGATGTTATGGAGCTCCAGAAAATTGGAATGGCTCTGAGTTTTTCCTGTTTGAATTATGCCAGTCAAGCCAGTGTAGAAACTGGCAGGAAATCTCAGTGAGTGGGGCAGCTGGAGCAATCTGGGTCCCCCAAATCTCTGAATCTTCAGGGGTCCAGTGCAGGTTCACATACCCTGTCCAAGGTCCCAGCCCAGCCCTTCCCAAGATACTCTTCCTGATCTTGGGGGATACTGACCTCAAACCGATACAGTGTTCCTCTCTTGCTTTCTAGCAGGAGTAGCCTTATCTTAATTTCGAGTATTCAAAAATGGAATTGGAGGGTACTGTGCTAAGCAAAATAAGTCAGAGAAAGACAGATAGATGATTTCAACTCATATGTGGAATTTGAGAAACTCAACAGATGAACATAGGGGAAGGGAAGGAAAGATAAGATAAAAATGGAGAGTGAGGCAAACCATAAGAAACTCTTAAATACAGAGAACAAACTGAGGGTTGCTGGAGGGGTGGTGGGTGGGGGATGGGTTAAATGGGTGAAGGGCATTGAGGAGGGCACTTGTTGAAATGAGTACTGGGTGTCATGTGTAAGAGATGAATCACTGGGTTCTACTCCTGAAACCAAGACTATACTGTATGTTAACTAACTTTAAAATACATTTAGGGGCGCCTGGGTGGCTCAGTCGGTTAAGCGACCGACTTTGGCTCAGGTCATGATCTCACGGTCCGGGAGTTCGAGCCCCGTGCCGCCTCTGTGCTGACAGCTCAGAGCCTGGAGCCTGTTTCAGATTCTGTGTCTCCCTCTCTCTCTGCCCCTCCCCCGTTCATGCTCTGTCTCTCTCTGTCTCAAAAATAAATAAACGTTAAAAAAAAACAAAACTGGCAATCCTCGCTCTGGAGCTCACCATTGGCTTGGCTGAAACCTTGTCAGATCTGCATCGTGGTCTCAGGTTCTTTCTGCCCAGTCCTACTCTCTGCCTGCTTTGCTTTCACCGGTGTCCTATCCGCATCACCATCTGCAGGCTCTCCCTGCTCAATTCTGCCCCCCCACCCGCACCCCCACCATTTCTCTTCACAGGTGTGAAATGTGTATCATCATCTCAAGTTTTCCCTGTCCAATTCTCCTTCCCTTGCTTTATCTTTCCCAGGAGTTACCTAGCCAATAAGCTTTGGACACTCTTAACTCTCTCTCAGCACCTGTTTCCCAGAGGACTCAAATTAACAGTCTCCAAATTTCTGCAGCCCAGGGGCCACCCTAGTTTTTGAAGGGTTTAGCTGCGGCGGGACACGGGGGGGGGGGGGGGGGGAAGGAGGGTTCTGGTGGCTCAGTCAGTTAAGCGGCCAACTGTTGGTTTCCGCTCAAGAGTTCATGAATTAGAGCCCTGCATCTGGCTCTGCGCTGATCGTGCAGGGCCGGCTTGAGATTCTCTTTATCTCTCGCTCTCTGTGCCCCCCTGCCGGACTCGCAGGCACAAGTGCATATTCTTTCTCTCTCTCTCTGAAAATAAATAAATAAATATTAAAAAATAAAAACAACTTGAGGGTCTGGGTGGCTCAGTCGGTTGAGCGCCGGACTCTTGGTTTCAGCTCAGCTCATGATCTCACAGTTCACGGGTTCGAGCCCGGCATCGGGCTCTGCACTGGCAGTGCGGGGCCTGCTTGGGATTCTCTTTCTCCCTCTTTCTCTGCCCCTCCCCAACTTGGGCCATCTCCGTCTCTCTCAAAATAAATAAATAAACTCTAAAAATAAGGTAAAATAAATTTTAAAAAATAAAAATAAATTTTTAAAAACAAAATTTTAAAAGAGCCATCTGAGAGGCATCTGAGAGGTTCCCTTGGAACCCCCACATTTGAATGGGAAAACTATGACATTCATCACCTTAGTCTGTTAATGCCTGTAGTCTGTTAACTCCTGAATCTGATGTCTTGTTTGTGAGTCAATGAATTTGCCTCAGATTTCTGTCCTTCTCTTCATATGGACTTGGTGAGGTGGTAAGAATGATGGCTGAAGAACCCCTTCTGTATTTTTGTGCATGCTGGAGGGACTGCCTGGCTGGTCCTCGCCCATTTTTTAGAAAGTGGACCTCAGCTAAAATCCCAAAATAGGACAATTCTCATTCAAATTTGACACACACAAATCCACACACATACCACACAGATATATTTATATATAAAGTTGTTTATAAAATGAAATCATGCTCTTTATTTCCACACTTGCTTTTAAAAATCCATACAATACATAGAATGTCCAGCACGAAGAATGAACCATAATGTAAACCATGAACTTTGGGTGATAATGATGTGTTAACGTAGGTTCATCGGTTGTAACAAATGTACTGCTGTGGTATAAGGTACCACAATTGTGGGGAGGTTGTGCTCGTGTGGGGACAGGGGATATATGAGAATGCTCTGTCCTTTCTGCTCTTTTGCTGTGAACCTAAAACTGCTCAAAAAATAAAGATTATTAGTTTTTAAAAAGTTTCAAAAATTTTATAATAGCAACTTACCTAATTCTTTTAATTGTTATGTAGAATTCTACCACATGGGCTACCACGATCTATTTAACCAGCGCCCTATATTTAAGGGTTTTTCATTAATTTTTCATCTTTACAAATAATTCCACAATGATATATCCATCTAAGTAATCCTATACGACAGCTTCACCAAAGTGTAGTGACTAGATCAAAGAGTTTGGACCTTTAAAATATTAATAGATATACAATGTTTATAGATATGCAAAATGCTTTCCAACAATACTGATCCAATATATATTCTCATCAATGTTGAGTGACAGTTTCTTTGCACCCTTCTCAACCCTGGGAATTGACAATATGTTAAATCTTTGCCAACCTAGTGGGTAGGTCAAATGAAATATTTTGACTTACATTTCTATGGCTTTTTTTTTTAAGTTTTTGTTTATTTATTTTGAAAGAGAGAGGGAGTAAGCATAAGCAGGGGAGGGGCAGAAAGAGAGGGAGAGAGAGAGAAGCACAAGCAGTGCAGAGCCCAATGTGGGGCTTGAACTCACAAACCATGAGATTATGACCTGAGCTGAAATCAAGAGGCAGACACCTAAATGAGCCACCTAGATGCCCCTGCATTTCCTTGGTTATTAATGAGCCTGAGTATCTTTCATACATTTCTACATTTGTATATTCTCATATCCTTTGTCTATTTTCCTAATGTGTTATTGGCCTTATTGATTTGTAGGAATTCTTTTTTATATTAAATAAATAAAGTCTTGTCTGTCATATGTGTTGCAAATATATCTTCCCAATTTGTTTTTTTATCTTTATTTATGGTGTTTTATGCTTTGCACGTTTAAAAATTTTAATGTAGTTGAATTTATGTCTTTTTGGTCTTACAGCTTCTTGGTGTTGAGCCACACTTACAAAAGCCTCACCCATTTTTTTCTTACACTATTTTTATGGTTCTATTATATCTTTGATACATTTCAATGTATTTTGGAATAAGGAATGAGGTAGTACGTCATTTATATTTTTCCAACTGGTTAGTTTTCCAGACACCTTAATTAGACAATGTTATCTTTTCTCTACTGATTTCAAAATGCCACCTTTCCAAAATCTAAATTGTTGTATGCACTTGGTTTATTTCCAAGCCTTCTATTCTGCTTCTTACTATTTTTTTAAATTTTATTTTTTATTTTTTTGCAGTTTACATCCCAATTAGTTAGTATATAGTGAAACAATGATTTCAGGAGTAGATTCCTTAATGCCCCTTACCCATTTAGCCCATCTCCCCTCCCACAACCCCTCCAGCAACCCTCAGTTTGTTTTCCATATTTATGAGTCTCTTCTGTTTTGTCCCCCTCCCTGTTTTTATATTATTTTTGTTTCCCTTCCCTTATGTTCATTTGTTTCATCTCTTAAAGTCCTCATATGAATGAAGTCATATGATTTTTGTCTTTCTCTGACTGACTAATTTCACTTAGCATAATACCCTCCAGTTCCATCCACGTAGTTGCAAATGGCAAGATTTCATTTTTTTTTTTGATAGGCGAGTAATACTCCATTGTATATGTATACCACGTCTTCTTTATCCATTCATCCATCAATGGATATTTGGGCTCTTTCCATACTTTGGCTATTGTTGATAGTGCTGCTATAAACATGGGGGTGCAAAAAAAATTAAAAAAAAAAACATGGGGGTGCATGTGTCCTTTGAAACAGCACACCTATATCCCGTGGATAAATGCCTAGTAGTGCAATTGCCGGGTCATAGGGTAGTTCTATTTTTAGTTTTTTGAGGACCCTCCATACTGTTTTCCAGAGTTGCTGTACCAGTTTGCATTCCCACCACCAAGGCAACAGAGATCCTCTTTCTCCACACCCTCGCCAACATCTGCTGTTGCCTGAGTTGTGAATGTTAGCCATTCTGACAGGGTTGAGGCGGTCTCTCATTGTGGTTTTGATTTGTATTTCCCTGATGATGAGTGATGTTGAGCATTTTTTCCTGTGTCGGTTGGCCATCTGGATGTCTTCCTTGGAGAAGTGTCTATTCATGTCTTTTGCCCATTTCTTCACTGGATTATTTGTTTTTTGTGTGTTGAGTTGATAAATTCTTTATAGATTTTGGATACTAACCCTTTATCTGATATGTCATTTGCAAATATCCTCTCCCATTCCGTCGATTGCCTTTTAGTTTTGCTGATCGTTTCCTTCGCTGTGCAGAAGCATTTTATTTTGATGAGGTCCCAATAGTTCATTTTTGCTTTTGTTTCCCTTGCCTCCGGAGATGTGTTGAGTAAGAAGTTGCTGCGGCCAAGGTCAAAGAGGTTTCGCCTGCTTTCTCTTCAAGGGTTTTGATGGGTTCATGCCTTACGTTTAGGTCTTTCATCCATTTTGAGTTTATTTTTGTGTATGGCATAAGAAAGTGGTTCAGGTTCATTCTTCTGCATGTCGCTGTCCAGTTTTCCCAGCACCACTTGCTGAAGAGACTGTCTTTA